CCCATCCACCTTCTGAGCAGATTTGCACTTTCCGCATATTTGAAAGGCCATCTTCCAGTTTCCGGCTCTGAATCTCTTCTTCCTCTTCCTTCATTGAAAGGGTAAGCTGTGGACTCCATCTCTGCGGGGCAGGGAGGGCCAGCACTGTCTCCCTCTCCCGGCAGGCCTGCAACAAAGGCGGCGGCAGCAGGGCAGCTGCAGGCTGGGCCTCCCCGCCGGGCCGAGCCACAGGACCAGGGTAAGGGCTAAGTTGCCCCTGTCCCGCCCACAGGGCCACGGGCCTCCCAAGCTCTCACAGCCTGGGCCAGGGGCAGAGGCAGCGGGGTGGGGAAGCCAAAGAGGGCTCTGAGCAGGCTGTCAGAGCGCCATCCTTTCCGCCTCTCCCTCACCCTTTATTTTTTATCTTTCTTTATCTTTGCTTTTCAAGTGTGTCTCTTGTAGATAGCTAGTAGATGGATTTGGGGGTTGTTTTTTGAGTTGTTTGTTTGCTTTGTCCACTCTGCTACTTCTTTTCCGTTCACTGATGCATTTAAACTATTCACATTCAGAATAATTATTGCGAGGCAAAGTTTTATTGCTATCATTTTTTTTAAGTCTTTTTAGTGTTGTTTCTGGTTACTTTGGTCCATCCTGCTTTCTGTGATATCTCCATAAGAAGGACTTCCCTCAATGTTTCCTGCAACTATAGAAAACTATAGACCAATATCTCTCATGAACATAGATTCAAAACTCCTGAATAAAATCCTGGCTAATAAAATCCAGCATTGTTGTTATGTGTTGTTGAGTCACCTATGACTCATAGTGACACTATGTACAACAGTCCTAATCCCTTTTCTTTCCTGTGCCAATTTTTTGTCTCTGACAAATCTACCCCAATTACCCTAGTCATAGAATCAATCCATCTCATCAAGGGTCTTCCTCTCTTGCACTGTACCTCCACCCTCCCATACATGATGTCCCTATCCAAGGACTGGTCCCACCTTGGAACAGAATCCAATATAACATTTAAAAAAATTATCATTACTAAGTAGGATTTACAACAAGTATGCAAAGTTGGTTTGTTGTTGTTGGTTGTTGTTGTTATGTGCCGTCGAGTCATTTGCGACTCACAGCGACCCCATGTACAACAGCCCTAAACCGTGCTCTATCCTGTGCCAATCTCATTGCCTCTGACACACCCATCCCGAGTACCCCAGTCACTGAATCAATCCACCTCATAGAGGGTCTTCCCCTCCTGCACTGTCCCTCCACTCTACCCTGCATGATGTCCCTCTCCAAAGACCTGTCTCTCCTTACAACGTGTCCAAAGTATGTCAGACGAAGCCCCAGAATCCTTGCCTCCAAGGAGCAGCCTGGTTTAATCTTCTCTACAATGAATCTGTTTGTTTTCTTGGCAGTCCATGGTACATTCAATACTCTTCTCCAGCACCACAGCTCAAAGGCGTCAATTCTCCTTCTATCCTCCCTAGTCATTGTCCAACTCTCTGATGCATAACAAGTGATTGCAAAAACCATGGTCTGTATCAGGCAGACCTTAGTCTCCAGAGAGATACTGTTGCTCTTGAGTATTTTGGAGAGGTCTCTAACCGCAGACTTTCCCATTGCAAGACGTTTTTTGATTTCCTGGCTACTGGTGCCAAGAGTGTTGACCGTGAAGCCAAGCAAACTGAAGCTGTGAACAATCTCAATCTCTTCGCCATCCATCCTGATGCTACCGATTGGCCCAGTGGTGAGAATTTTTGTCTTCTTGACATTGAGCCTCAGTCCATATTGATAAGAAAAATAATCTGTGTCATTAATCACATTAACAAAGGAAAGAAAAAGAACCACATAATCCTATCAATTGATTCAGAAAAGGCCTTTGAGAAAACCTAATACCCTTACCTGATTAAAACATTCACCAAAATAGGATAGAGGGGCATTTTCTCAACATAGTAAAAGATAGATACACAAAACCAAGAGCCAACGTCATTCTCAATGGAGAGATAAAAGGCATTCCCTTTGAGAACAGAAACTAGGGAAGGATGCCCACTCTCACCTCTCCTACCCAATTTTGTATTGGAAGTCTTAGGAAAGGCAATAAGAGAAGAAAATAAGAGGTATCCAAATTGGCAAAGAGAAGGTAAAATTATTTCTACATGCATATGATACAATAGTATACTTAGAAAACCCTAAAGACTCAGTTGGAGAACTCCTGGACATAATCAACCAATTAAGAAAAGTAGCAGGACACAAAATCAACATACAGAAACCAATTGGATTTCTCTACAGTGATAAACAGAATACAGAAATGGAGTTAAGAAAAACAATACACATTGCAATAGCTAATCACAAGATTAAATACTTGTAAGTAAATTTAATTAGAAAACAAAAGACCTATTCAAAGAAAGTTACAAAAAATTACTACAAGTAACAAAAAGAAACCTGGAGAAATGGAAGACTATACCATGCTCATAAATAATGTGAAATGACAATTCTACCAAAGACGATCTACAAGTTCAGTGCAATCCCAAAGTATCAATTCCATTCATCAATGAGATGAAAAAGGCAATTTCCAATTTAATCTGGAATGGAAAGAGACTTCAAATAAGTGAAGCACACCTGAAAAAGAAAAACAAGGTACAAACTATCTCACTTCATGATCTCAAATCTTACTACACAGCACGGTACTGGTACAGTGACAGACACATAGATCAAGGGAATAGAATTAAGAACCCAGAAATATGCTCACCTACTCATTGTCAACGGATTTCTGACAAGAAGATTAAATCAGTTAAGTAGAAAAATAAAAGCCTCTTTAACAAATGGTGTTGGCAAAATTGGGAAACCATCTGTAGAAAACTCAAGCAAAACCGACACCTCACACTATACCAAAAAGCCAATTAAAACTGAATCAAGGAGCTACAAGTAAAACCAAGAAATATAAACTTCATAAGAGAAAAACTTGGAGGAAAATTCTAGAAGCTTTAATCCATAATGTGAATAATCTACCAAGCATCTTGAAAAACAACCAGGAGAGAATTAAATAGATTCATGGGATCTTCTAAGAGTCAAATCCCTATGCACAGCAAAAACCTTCTCCAACAGGGTGAAGAGGGAAACCCTCAGACTGGGAAAGACTATTTGGTAATGACATGTCTGATAAGGAACTCATATCTAAAATTTATAGATTATTCCAGCACCTTAACAAGGAAAAGATAAACAACCCATTTGCAAAATGAGCACAGAGTATGAATACTTCACCAAATAAGACATTCAGAACAAGCACACAAAGAAATGTTCAAAATCCATAGCTCTAAGAAAGATGCAAATCAAAACCACTATGAGATATCATCTTACCCAGTAACAATAGCAAAGTTCATCAGATTAGCAAACAACAAATGCTGGTGAGGTTGTGGATAGGAAATCTTACTTATTGGTGGTGGGAGTATAAATGGTGCAATCACTATGGAAGGTGGTATGGCGTTTTCTCCAAAAGTTAGAAATAGAAATACCATTTGACCCAGCAATTCCGCTACTAGGAATATACCCTAAAGAAACCAGAGCTGCCATCCAAACAAATATATGCACAACCATGTTTATTGCTGCATTATTCAATATAGAAAAGAGATGGAAGGAATTCAAGTGCTCATCAACAAATAGTAAAACCATGGTATATTTACCCAATGGAATACTATACAGCACTGAAAACAAGGAACTCATTAAGTACTACACAAAATGGGTGACCTTGGAGGACATTATGCTGAGTGAAATATCTCAGTCACAAAAGGACAAACCCTGCATAATGCCACTATTGTAAAACAGAACTGAAATGGGGTTTGGAAGTAAATCAAGAAAAGAGGAGATAAATAATGAACACTGTATTGGAACAGATGAGAACTGTTTAAAAGGAATATATGATTAGGCATTACCTGTATGACAACAGTCCGGAAAAAGAGGTGCATAGCAAAGTTTACTGAGAGAAGGGTGGGAGGGGGAGGAAATCATGCAACATTGAATGTGTGTGTGTGTGTGTGTGTGTGTGTGTGTGTGTGTGTGTGAGAGAGAGAGAGAGAGAGCGAGAGAATTGGGAGGGAAGTAAGGAGTAAAATGTGCAACAATCAGTGAATGAATTTCCAACTTTTCTGTTAACTTTCTTTAAAAATCACAATTCAAAAAAAGAAAGAAAAAAATCCAACAAAACACATGCACTGCCACTACTTTCTAAGCAGATTGTAATACCATCTTGCTGAGGAAGAAATATCTGAACACTTGCCCTGAGAGATTTTTAACTCATTCCAACCTCTTGCCAAGAGGCCTGACAATGTCATTTCTTGTTCAGCATGCAATGGGCCAGGCCAAGCTAAGGCCCAGTAGATTGGATATCATTCAGCAACCTTACTGTGGCTCTCTCCTCCAGAAACAGAAGGGCAAAGGCCTGGTATCAGGAGCCAGAGCATTTCAGCCTGGCCAGCGACCTCAACAGAAATTTGGCTTGGTTTAAAAAAGCAGAAGGTTCAGAGCTGTCCTTGAAGCTATAGAAAGAACAAGAAATTAATAAGGAATGAAAACTCTGGAAGAAGCTGTATATGCACATTAAACAGGAATCTTCCTAGTTCTCCTTTTCTGAGAAGACCAAATTCCCTCAGTTAAGAAGGTTGGGCTATGGATTCCATGCACATTATTGGATCAAGAGTGATCCTGATACTCTATTGCTATAGGGAGCTCTAGTGGTTAGAAAGATGGGCAATTTCCTCACATTGTAGTGAAGATTCATTTCCCTATTATCAACTACAAGTAGGAATAGGAATTCAGATTGATGCTTCAGAATCCACACTTCAAAAGTCTGTGGATTTACAGAACAGAAATCCCCATTTCACTTGAGTAAGCTAGGACAAGAAAAGGACCACTTGTTATAGTAAAACTGAAATAGTACACTCCTATCTCCTTATTCCATTAATTTTAACTAGAAGAGAAGCTGTGGCTTGTAGTAAATAAACACAAACATGCAACAGTTTTACCTTCAAAAAATGCCCATGTCTCTCTCTTTTTCTCAAAGGATGAATCTTCAGAAGCTTTATGGGAAATCACTGTAAAATAAAAAAAATTTAAAAAATATATATCATGAAGTGCAGCCACTCCCTGGCCTATCTGTGTACTGTATTGGCTGGGGCACTCTTAACTTTATGAAATAGTTTTCACATTTGTAAAATTGAATTCCCAATATATGAAAAGTGTGAGCATGGGAGACATGGAATTCGTTGTCTATGTTTAAAAGTCAGTAAATGACAAAGCCAGATTCCAAACAGTTCAACAAAAGCCCCAAATGCTTCCTATCCTTTCAAAATAAAATTCCCCAGTCAGAGCACCAGGAACCAAAACATTATTTTTTTCCAGTTCAAGGGGAGTATTTTTAAAATGTAGTGTACACGTGTCAGAATTCCTAGATAGAGAAGCCAGGTCACTGGATTACTCAAGATCTTGAGAACTGTTCTCCATTCAAGACAGCTTCATTCAGCATGCATCTGATTTTGATATGATTTTGTTCTCTTTCAGTCAGTAGTTTATTACTGGATTTATAGTGTCTATAGTGCCCTAAGGTCTAGAATTATTTTTGGAGGAACATTCTTCTAAGTTATACAGCACTCCTTTGTCAATTTTCTGCACTGAGGTAATCTGGGTTTACTGTGATGCTGAACTTTGTGCCATTGAGGGGGTCAAATGCCATAATGGCTGCCCATGGTGGGCAGTGTTTGGTGGAGCTCCCAGTTTAAGACAAGTTTGGAAGCAGAAGTGACATCCACTTCTTAAAACACATGCCGCTGGAAACTCTATGAACTTAGAGAAATGAAGATAGTTACAGAAAGGCTTCAGTCCTTTTGTTTATAGGGTTGCTATGAGTCATGCTCAACTCGACGGCAATCAACACAGTAACTTTTAATAAGCAAGAAGACACAGAATTGAACTTGAACCTTGAATATTATGAGACTTCTAGAAATATAAAAATGTTTCTACACAATGCAAAAACATAAAATTCAACCTCAGAGCCAAAGTGAAGTATTATGGAATGAATTATGGAATTGTGATTATAGTATTATGATAGAACTTTCTGTGATAATGGAAATGTTTTCTTCCTAAACTGCCTAATATGGTAGTCTATGGTCACATATGACTGTCGTTTGAAACATGGCTGTTATAGTTAAGGAACTGAATTGGTCATTTTATGTTATCTACATGAAATAGCTACATGTGATTTTGTTGGTTTTGAGTGTCATCAAGTCAGTTCCCCTCATTCTAACACTGTGCACAACAGAGCAAAATGCTTATTGTTCCTGTGCCATCTCACAGTCATGTCAGTGACTGAGTTAGTGAAATCACTATTGTACAATTTGGCTCATTGTTCATCCACAGGAATAGATTCCTCCAGATAACACGTGCAAAGCATGTGAGACAAAATCTCACCATCTTTGTTTTTGACAAGCATTCTGACTGCACATTTTCCAAGAGAGATGTGAGTGTTCTACTTGGAATTCCATGGCACGCTAAAAATTCTTCACCAACACCAAAATTCACAAGCATCAATTCTTCAGCAGTCTTTCTTAGTCATTGTCCACTTTTCATATGCATATTACACAGTTGAAAATGCCATGGCCTGGGTCAGGGTCACTTAATTCATCGAAGTGACATCTTTGTTCTTTATTATTTAAAAGAGGTCCTTTGCAGCAGATCTGTCCAGTGAAAGATGTCTAATTTCTTAACTGCTTCAATGTAAAATTAAATTCTTGACACATTAAATCTCTTCTCTATTAATTATGCTATTGCTTATTCATGCAGTTATCAAAATTTTTGCTTTGTTTGTGTTGAAGTGTAATCCATACTGAAGACTGTATGTAGTCTTTGCTCTTTAGCAGAGTTTCAAGTCCTCTCCACATTCAGCAAGCAAGGTCGTGTGTCATCTGCATATTGAAGGTTATTCATGAATCTTTCTCGTGGCTCACTTTATCAAATTATTTACTCATCAAACATGTTAAATGAGTACAATGAAAGGATGCTATCTTGACAAGCATGTTTCACTATTATAAACCAGTTGTTCTGTTTGAACGACTACTTCTTGTGCGGGTTCCACATGAGCACAATTGAGTGCTCTGGAATTCCCGTTCTTTGCAATGACATATTTTGTTATTATTCACAGAGTTGGGTGTTTTTGCCCAGTCAACAAAACACATTTCTGGTATTTTCTACTTTCAGTCAAAATTTATCTGATAACAGGAATAATACCTATAATTCTATGTCCTTTCTCAATATGTCTTAAGTTTCTGGCAATTTCTTGTTAATGCACTGAGTCATCCATTTTTAAGCTAGTTTCAGCAATATTTTTATATTGTTTGATAATTTCTGATTCTCCCGGATTGCCTTTCTTTAGGTAAGCATAATTCTTCCAGTTAATTTGCCTGAAAGGTCTCTTCTAATTTCTTGGCATTAGAAGAGTAGTTTATGCGAGTGTTGCATCTGTTTGTGGAAACATTTAAGTTTGATTCTATTAATTCCCGAAAACGTCTATTTTTTAAATATCTTTTCAGTGTGGATTGGACTTCTTTAAATGCTATTTGTTCTTGAATACATGTTATCAACTAAAATGGCTGAACATTAAACAATTCTTTGGTACAGTGAGTTTGCATATTCCTTCCCAATATCTTTTAAGGTTTCTGGCCTATGGACACCTCCAGTCAAGTTCAAGTCTTGACTATTTTCTTTATTTATTTCAGGTTGAAAATGCCCATCATACTATTCCTTACTGGCTTTCTAACTCTTGGTTACTTAATCATCTTGAGCTGCTCTTTTACGTCTTCAGTTCAACTCTCTTATATCATCATTTCTTACATTAGCTTTAGCATCACTATGTTTTTTAGCAAGTTTTATAGCCTGTTCAGATATTTTGATTTTTTGTGACTTTTTTCTTTTTAATGACCTTTTGCTTACTAATATAGTACCCTTAATGTCATCCCACAACTCATCTGGTCTTCTGTCATTGTTGTTGTTGCTGTTATGTGCTGTCGCGTTGCTTGCGACTCATAGCGACCCTGTGTACAACAGCTCTAAACTCTCCTCTGTCCTGTGCCAATCTCACTGTCTCTGACACACTCATCCCGATTGCCCCAGTCACCAAATCAATCCATCTCCCAGAGGGCCTTCCCCTCCTGCGCCTTCCCTCCACCCTCCCAAGCATGATGTCTTTCTCCAAGGACCGGTTTCTCCTTAGAACATGACCAAAGTATGTCATTAGTATTCAATATATCAAATGTATTCTTGAGATGGATTCTAAAGTCAGGTTGGATATATTAAAGATTTTACTATGACTCTTGTGAGCTTGTTTTCATTTTATCCAGCTTCAACTGAACTTGCATATGAGAAATGATATTGATCATCTCCTTTGTCTTTTTCTACAAATGTAGTCCATTTGAATACTGTGTATTCCAACAACAAGGTATGTTTTATTGTTGTTGTTGTTATGAACCATTGAAGTAGAAAGGTCTCCTTATATGAACTTGTATTGCTTTTCAGATACTGTTACATACCCAGGAGGAAAATGCACAGCTATTTCTCATAGAGCAGCTAGTATATTTGGGTTGGCAGTGCAAGTCTTTAACACTAAGTCACCAGATATGTTCACCATTTATGTTACTCAAAACAGAATTTGCAAGGAATAAGAGCTCATCTTGCAAAATTCTATCAGGTGATCTCTGACCTTGTTTCTATCATTAAAGCCAGATTTCCCAACTATGATCCTTCGTTTTTGTTTCCAATTTTCACATTTCAATTACCAGAAAAACATATTGGTTGTATATTTGATCAACTTTAAACTAGAAATCTTTTTATAGTTTATAGAAATCTTCATTTTCTTCATCTTTGGCTTTAGTAGTAAGTACATATATTTAAATATTAGTCATATTAACAGGATTTCTTGTATGTGTAATGATATTATTCTATTACTGACAGCATTATACTTGAGGATATGTCACCAAATGTACTTGAATCCAATGAATGTGGTTATCATTCTCCTTTAATCTGTCATTCCCAGAATGTTGTTGTTGCTAAGTACCTTCTAGTCGAGTATACTTCATAGCAAGCAAGCCTTTGAAAAGCCAACCTGAATCCTGCTCTATCATACGCCATCCTCATCATCTTTGAGACACGAGAGCCCATTGCTGAAGTCACAATGTTAACTCATCTCCTCCTTCACTAACCCTCCATCTTTCCAATCATGATGGCCCTTTCCAAGGAATAGCCTTACCTATCTACATACCTAAACTTTGAAAGACAAAGAAGCACTCTGGCATCACCATTTCCAGGATATATATATTTGAAGGTTTTTATTTGCAGTCCATGGGATATTCAGTACCTTTCTCCACCATCACAACTCAAAAGCATCAATTGTTCTTCTGTCATCCTTATTCATTGTCTAGTTCTTTTATGTGTAACAAGTAATTGAGAAGACTATGGCCTGAATTAGGCACATGTTAGTCTTCAAATTAACGTCATTGCTCTTCAGTATTTTGGAGTGGTCCCTGATAGCAGGTTTTTCCAATGCAGTACTTCTCCTGATTTCCTTGACTGCTGGTTTCAAGGGTGATGATTGTTAATCCAACAAGATTAAATCATTGACAGCTTCAATCTTTTCTCCATCTATCATAATGTTGACTGTTGGGCCTGTGCTGAGGATTTTTGTCTTCTTAATGTTGAGATGTAATCCATACTGAAGGCTATAGCTTGATCTTCTGCAGCAAGCGTTTCATAATTTTCTCACTTTCAGAAGGCAAATTTGTGTCATCAGCATAATGCAGGTTGTTTATGAGTCCTTCTCCAATCCTGATACTACATTCTTCTTCATGAAATCTGACTTCATGAATTATTTGTTAAGCATACAGTTTGAATATGCATGGAGAAAAGATATAACACTTACATACACTCTTCCTGACTGGACAACACTGTGGAATCTCAGGTCCACCTCAAACTCTGAACTAGAATCACTTTTAAAACAAAATCTTCTGAGTGAATATTAACGTTTGAGAATCACTGATACATACTGCCT